TACATTAAGAGCCTTGGACAATTAAGATAACTTCGACCTACCTTTAACTTTTAAACACTAACGTGAAATCATTGGGTATTTGGATCATCGTATTCAAAAAGGATCAAGTTTCAGCAAGACTTACATTTTTTTCCACAATAACAAAATATGAAATGATTTTTTCTTTACCTGATAAGGTTTATGGATTATGAATCCTTTGTACAATCTACATCTCTTTGTCAATATCACAAAGACACAAATGACTCACCCAGAGATGGGAAAATACAAAGATTAATTGTATCAGGAACAAATAAATTGATTTACTAGATTTAGCCATGTTTACCTGGTTAGAAGGTTTGTCTGTTTGGGACACATCATACTATTAGAATACTAGGCTCATGCACACAAGGCACATTTATATAAGCAAGAGAACAAACAATGATATCTATGAAGGTTGCCTCCATACCAAATTGCAAGGGGACTTCATGGAGGTGGCTGATGACCAGGGCACACCAGGCTTTAGGACAGAAATCTGTAGCACAGCTAGGTGTCTCTGGTTGGTTCTGGGTCTGTGGTGGCTAACCAGTGCATACAGACACTTCTGAGGTCACATAAACAGATATAATTTTATATGTTTTTATTCCCATATCTGGAAGCAGAAAGCAACAACTATTACCATGGCCATAGGGACATCAGGCAACGTTGCTGTTGATGTTGGATATCTTTTGATCTCTCAGCCTGCTCAAGGTAGGCCCCCTTACTGCCAGAGTTGGAGCTCCAGACAGAGAGAGCATGGGCCCTAGACAACTACCTCTGCTGCCTTATGGATTATGCGGCTGTACCAGGGAGCTTTTATAGACCCTCTTCCTCCAGTGTCATGTAGGAGGGGAGTGACACTCGATACAAGGGACTGGAAGTCAACTAGTTGTTTCCTAAGAAAGAGTGGCCCTATATGTGGGTCAGTTAACTTATAGAACCACACATTTATCCCTTTATTCCATGATACCTGCACAGTTTCTAGTTGGTAATTAAACCTTGACACCTCAGTACATCGAATGAGGGCAAACCGCTCTGATTCTTGGGAGTCCAAGTTCTCTCTCTCTCTATTTAAATGATGGATGTAAGTTGATTGTATTGTGTTTATTAGTTTGAGACTCCTAGATTCTAAACCAGAATTTTAATATATGTGCCTGAAACTCTGCTGCTACACATTGTCACTACATCATTTTTTATATTGTACAGAATAAACACATAATGATTGATGGATGGATTGATGGATCGATAGACAGACAGATAAAAAGAAAGACTATTTTGATTACATATTTTCTTTTTTTCTGAAATATTTTCTTTTCACCCACTGGCTGCTGCAGATGTTTTATTACATTACCAAAAACCAAAGGATTTCTTTGCCTTAGCAAATATACCTCATAGAGTTCCATTCAAAGAAATGGCCACATGAGTAAATAAACAGTGAATGTTAAATTCCAATCTTTCAGAGAAAACAAAACAAGATGTTACCGTTGTGGCATAAAACAAAAGGGTTTCCCGCAGTCTCTTTGATGTTAAAATTGAATGCGCTGTGAAATGTTGGAAAGAACATCTGATCCATGCGGTTTGCTTTTATTAATGTATAGAAAATGTTAATTTGCTGTATGCCATTACTGGGATTTTGCAATATTAGAAAATAATGCCAGATGCTCATTAACAGACTGGTATCCCATAACCAGGAAATGTGGAAAGGGGGTTTTAATGTTCTAATGGCAGAAAATATGATTACCCTGGAAATACTTGGACACGGAATTTAATATACAAAATACAGAAAAACAACATTAAGTATTTTACTATTGAGGAGACCGTCAAGGGTGCAGTTTTCACCTTGACATGTTTTAGAGGATAAAGAACTAATGTTTAACCCTTTGAGATTTGTAATCCACATCATGCTTTGCCCTCTTATCTTTTACATGGCTATGGAGAAGATGTGAGCTCTGTACAATATTTTATTTATTAATATGTATCCTCTTATCCAGAATATGGTTTCTATTACGCAAAAGCAATGAATATTGAAGAAAAAAAAATGAATAAACGTTATTTCAAACTACATATTTTGTGGAATTGTGTATCATTTAAGATTATGCTTAAGTATACCTGCTCTTCCAAACAACATGGCATCAATTTATAGAGAATAAAATGTAATTTAGACAGACTGCGAGCCAAACTGCAAGCCAATGTACAGATAAACCTTATTTCACCATAGTACTTGGAGAACCCAAGTATCTGCTCCTCTTCTACAGAACAACATCATCCCATGATGCAAAGTGAGTAACTACAGGATGGATATTTTAGAATACTACGAGAATAATTTGGGGGCTGTCAGCTGTGTTCCATCTTAGAGAAAGACGAAGCAATCTGGTACTAAACATAATTTACTAATCTGCTGCTGAATTTATACATTTGCTTCCTGAAGGTGAACTTTTTTTGCTTGATCCAATGAGACATCTGACTGCTATTTTGGGGTCAAGGAGGAATTTTTTCCTGGTTTGTTGCAAAATTGGAAGCGCTTCAGACTAGGTTTTTTGCCTTCTTTTGGATCAACAGCAAAAAACAAATGTGAAGAAGGCTGAACTTGATGGACGCAAGTCTCTTTTCAGCTATGTAACTATCTAACTTTTCATCCATGCAATCTGTAACAAGTTCCCTTTAAGACAAAATAGGGAATTGTGTGTGTCTTTCAAATAGCTATTTCAAAGGCTCTCCGCTTGTAAGCCTTCCAACTTTTATCACTGCTGTCTTGCTGAGTGATGCACAGTAGCTGCCATTGTAAAATGAAGCCTCCATTTTGTTTTGTGTTCGCAAGTTTGATGTATCCAATGGTAACATAAAATTGATAGTTCACGTTGAGATGGAGATGTGAGAACAGCCTTTAGACAACTTCCACAAGGTATCCAATTTAAATAAAATTAGTTTCTGGATTTAAAAATATATTTAGAGGGGATATTTCTGGAATTTACACCAAAAAAAACAGCAGTGTTAAACTGCCTTTGCCTGTGCTGTGATTAGCACTTGTCTTTTCAAAGACACTTGTGGCCCTCAGGCAAAGCTCTTTTTTGACTTGTTCCCAGGCTGGAGGAACCATGCAGCCAGCCAACAGGTCCAAAGACTGTGATACTGGGATCCCTAAAAATTTACACAGGACACACAGTTCAAAAAGGAACTAACATACTTATCTTTATTTCTTAATCAATAAAAATACAAATAATTAAATTACATCAGAGAAGATAGAGGAACTTATAATAACATAATGATATATTTATAAAGGGGTGGAGGTGACAATAATTAACACAAAATATCACTCTTGCCTGCAGAATTAGCAATATGCATATCTACCTTGATATGCAAATTAACAAGTCTTGCTATTCAGTGCATATAGATGTTGCTACTAACTTGCTCCATAGCCAAATCCACCTAGTTGATAGCAAGCATCAGCAGGACAGGAGAGCAGACAAAACATTTAACAATAAACAAATACGCTACACACACCCTGTACATATAATGGGCACTGGATGACTTAGACATAGGAGTAGTCCAGGGTTTCATCTGAATCTACTGGTGATGGTGACTAACGTCACATCTACGTTTCTATCAGAGTAAAGGAGACCATATTTAAAAGAAGAAAAACTACCACAACAAGAGAACAGTCTTAAATTAGAGGGGCAAATGTTTAAAAATAATATCAGGAAGTATTACTTTACAGAGAGGGTAGTGGATGCATGGAATAGCATTCCAGATGAAGTGGTAGAGGTTAATACAGTAAAGGAGTTTAAGCATGCGTGGGATAGGCATAAGGCTATCCTAACTATAAGATAAGGCCAGAGACTAATGAAAGTATTTAGAAAATTGGGCAGACTAGATGGGCCGAATGGTTCTTATCTGCCGTCACATTCTATGTGTCTATGTTTCTATGTTTATATATACACACACAAAACATTGCTGTTGCAACAAAAATCTGAGCTGTTAGCAAAACAGTGCAGTCAGGTAGTGAGATGTGTATTAAAGTGTTCAGATTGAGGCATTTACGTTAAATTCTTTCTAAGAGCTTTGTAAAACACAGCATCCTTTGCAGTGAGTTACTGCGATCTGTCTAAAAGTGTTCAAATCTTTTTGCTCCAAGTCTGACTCAACTTAAGTTAAGCCTTATGCCTATTCCACGCATGCTTAAACTCCTTTAGTGTGTTAACCTCTACCACTTCAGCTGGAAGGCTATTCCATGTATCCACTACCCTCTCCATAAAGTAATTGTGGCGGGAACCTCGCCACGTGTTCTTGGAGGGGGATGCTTGCCCGCCTCCTACCTTCTGACTATGGGCCTGGGATATATGGCATTTAAAAACACTATTTGTGCCCTGTGGCAAAACTGGAGATTGTGCACAAAACTGTGGAGTTACTGGGTGGCCACCATTTCATGTATCAGAGGCACATGGTGAGAACAATGGATGAAACACACGGTGAGAACAATGGATGAAACACACGGTGAGAACAATGGATGGCGGCCATTTTAACTCACAGATATTGTTTGGACTTTTCTACACGGTGCCATCTCGCCGGTATTTGGTGCACAAAGACATCGTGCAGTAGTTTTAAACTATACAACAGGGGACACATTATACAGTAATTATTTTTCATATAGCTTGTATATGTTCTGCAGAATCTGAATTAAACTGTATCTTCCAAACTACTGAACGGATCTGGGTGAATATTGGATATGTGGTTCACCCAGATCCCCTGGTTCAGAGAATATACTTTTTATGGGTTTATTGCATGTTTTGGGCTCCCTGTGATCTGTTTTATAATACTGTATTTCTCTGCCTGTGATCATTATATTAACCATTGTGTTCAGTAATCATATCACAGGCAGAGGGGAGGATTTTGTGTGGGAGTGTCTGTGTGTATTGTACGGATTGATTGGTTGTATTTCTAAACCCTGTGGGCAGTACTATGTTTGTGGATTGTGAATAAAAGAGGCTGTATGTGCCAGTACAGTCAGTTCTGCTTGACCTCAAAATGAAGTGTCATCTCGTTATTGGGGGAATTGGATTGTATGCTGATTGCCAGGAGTGTAAGCTGATTGTACGCTTTTCCCGTTCAGTTGCTTACAGCATTCATATGCTTGAGAGCATTCGTATGCTTCTCCGGTTTGGTAGTTGTGGTGTCTGCTGCAGTGCTTGGAGTCCTCAGGAAGCCCTAGGAGCATCCTTCAACGGAGGTACCCAGTCGGGGTGCCAGGTGATCAGTTACAGTAATACTTCCTGATATTATTTTTAAACCTTTGCCCTTCTAATTTAAAACCATGTCCTCTTGTTGTGGTAGTTTTTCTTATTTTAAATATGGTCTCCTCCTTTACTGTGTTGATTCCTTTTATGTATTTAATATGTGAAGGATAGCATAAAATCTAGCCTAATAAAGGATAGTGGGGCGAACATAGAGTTCATTTAGGTTACATTAGAATTTGGTAATCACACAGTAACTTGTGTAGGTGTGATTTATAGGCCCCCAGGACAAATAGCAGAGTTAAATAATCTACAAGTTGAGGATATAGCTAAAATGAAAATGAAGGGGGAAGTTATCATGGGTAACTTTAATCTTCCTGATGTGCAATGGAAAACCAAAAAACCAAAACAGCTGCTTGTGCCAGGAGCACACATATTCTAAACTCCCTACTGGGATTGTCTCTAAAACAAGTCGTTGAGGAACCAACTCGTAAAGAGGCCATACTAGATTTAGTGTTAACAAATGGAGGTTTGGTATCAGATATTACAGATCAGATATTACTGTAGGTGAAAGTTTAGGATCCAGTGATCATCAGTCAGTGTGGTTTAATATAAGAACAGTGAATGAGTCACACCACACAAAAACAAAAGTTTTAGAATTTAGAAAAACAGACTTTTCTAAAATTAGAATTTGTGTAAAGGAGTCATTATCAACTTAAATGGAGTCCAAGAGAAATGGAATTATTTAAAAGTTGCACTGCTGAAGGCTGAAAATTGCATTAGGCTTGTCAGTAAAAGCAAAAAATTCAAGAAACCACTGTGGTACTCCGCAGACGTGGCCAAAATAGTAAAAAACTAAAAGTTAGCATTTAGTAATTGTAAAAAAAAAAGTGAGGAAGATAGACAGATCTATAAGATTAGGCAGAAAGAGGCTAAGCAAGTTATAAGAGCTTCCAAATCACACACAGAAGAGAAAATAGCACAGTCAGTAAAAAAGGGGGACAAAACATTTTTTAGATACATAAATGAGGAAAGGAAAGATGAAGAGGGTAAAGGTCTAGCTGACTGCCTCAATTAATATTTTTGTTCAGTATTTACAGATGAAAATGAAGGAAAGGGGCATCAGTTAGGAAAAAGGACAAATGAGTCATTTGTTTCATGTGAGGAAGAGGTTCTGTCAAAAGTTAAAAACCAATAAGTCAATGGGACCTGATGGAATACACTCAAAGTTATTAAAAGAGCTTAGTGGTGTACTAGCAAAACCATTAACAGATTTATTTAACCAATCATTGTTAACAGGAGCAGTCCCAGAAGATTGGAAGTTAGCGAATGTTCACCATTCACAAGAAAGGTAGTAGGGAGGAGTCGGGCAACTATAGGCCAGTAAGCCTTACTTCTCATTCTAACAGGATAAGGTGATTCTAAGAACAGTTCCAGAGTTCAGGCCTAAAGTAGTTTCATCATTTCATATGAACCAAGAGATCATCTTGCCTGCTTTCTTCCCATCTCCTACTTCTAAAAGCCCATTCAGCCCGAGCTCTATCCACTTCCTGGACAGCTGTTGCACAAGTGTCTTCTGATCAGATCTGCAGAGCAGCGACATGGTCGTCTCAGAATACCTTTATCCGGCATTATCGACTGGATGTGAGATCCTCTAGAGAGTCTCAATTTGGTTCTGCCATCTTATCAGCTTCTTGAACTTATGTTGTCACTTAATAAATTTCAGCATCATGTTGTGTTCTGTATATTTCCCCCTCCTCCCAGAGATTTGATAGCTTGGGCATTGCCCTTGAGTAGTGCTTCCATGGCCATGGCCGGGAAAATATGTTTAATATTTTCCTTTCCCGGTAATGGGCCATGGCAGCACTAGGCACCCTCCCTGGTCGTTGGCTTGTTATGAACTGGGGAATTATGGTCATGTGTCTTTTATGAGCTAAAATTTAGCCCTGTCCAATGGAAGTAAGGGGAGGAGCTAACCCTGGAGTAGTGCTGCCATGGCCCATTACCGGGAAAGGAAAATATCGGTAAATATGAAACAATTTTTTCCATTATATATATATTTATACACACACACACACGCTTCCAGCACTCATTTTGGCATTAACAACCATTTTTTGGCTGACGTACCCTGAACATCCGCGGTCACTAAGGGGTTAAGCATGCATGGGGGAAGCATAAGGCTATCCTAGTAATAAGATAAAGACAGGGACTAATGAAGGTATTTAGAAAATTGGGCAGACTAGATGGGCCGAATGGTTCTTATCTGCCGTCACATTCTATGTTTCTAAGTGCCAGAAATGAATATTGTCCTGAAGCACAATGCTTACTTTGCAATAACATATTGCCAAACAGTTCATTAGCACCTGCTTAATTATGTACTCATTTTGATCAAAACCACACAGAGTACAAAGATAAAGACATTTACTTTTTTAAGCGAAAGCTAAAGGAGTATCAGAAGAGTAAAAGTAAAAGTTAGAATGTTTGAATTGCGTCAAGAGTTGTTTGCGTATTTCCAGGATCATAAATTTGGATTATCTGATCGATTAAAAATGTTGTGGTTATCCAAAGTAGCATATCTTGCAGACATATTCACAAAATTAAATGACGTATGTTTATCACTGCAAGGAAAAAACACTAATATTTTTAATGCAAGAGATTAAATATTTTCACTATCTCGTAAGCTGCAGTTTTGGACCTCATCTGTTGAGTAAAATAATTTGAACTCTTTGCCAACAAAAAAATTATTGGTGAACCCTGCCATAGGCTCTGAAGACGTGGCTTTTAAGGGACTTCTTAAAGGATCAGTATGGGAGAGTCTCATGAGAGAATGCAGCCTGTTCCATTACAACGGAGCAGTCCGCGCGGAGTCCTGTAAATGCGAGTTAGCAGTACCGGGCACGAGCAGAGAGACAGGAAAATTTCAGAGTAGTGGCTAAAAAGGTTAAGTATTTATGAATTAGTGAAGAAATGTAGCAGGAGTAGAGTTGTTGAGCGCTTTGCAGGTAAGAATTAATATTTTGAATTGAATGTTATGGAGTTCAAGAAGCCAATGTAATGGTCAACAGAGTGCTGACATGTGAGAGGAGCGACAAGAGACAAAAATCGTACAATTCCATTTTACTTCAGACCTCAGAAACGGCAGACCAGCAGAAGCTTTAAGACTACAATTCTTATCATCCTCTGGCGGAAGGTTTTTAGAGGCCAAGAAGAACTTATTGCACAGAGCATGGTCTTCTTTAAACAAACATTACAAGGGTCATTTGGAAGATGTTTTTTAAGGATATCCTGATCTCTTGGAAGAATTGGAATACATTGTGTCTGTGGATAAGTAATAGAAACGGGAAGATGGTGTAAATTGTGTTCGGTATTTTATCCAATAAAAACACCCCAAGGAAATAGACTGTCAGGAAATGTGCTCACAGTGTCAGGAAATTCATTGGAGTTTACAGTAACACACAAATCTAGAATTTAGGACTAACATGCTACTAATGAAAACATCTTTTAGCGCAAGGAAATATAATGCATGCACAAACAAAGATGACTAACACAATCAGATTAACGTTGTACACCAGAGGGTATAACGCAAAGTCAGTGGCTCAGTCTTATAGTAGGCATTCATGCTCTATACAGTGTTTTTTGGAAGGTATATAACCAACATAATCCAGCCATCATAACCAGATGTCAACATAAAACATTTTTTTACTTTAGCACAGGCTTCCCCAAACTCTGGCCCTCCAGATGTTGCTAAACTACAACTCCCATGATTCTCAGCCTATCTATTTAATTCATAGAATCACGGGAGTTGTAGTTTAGCAACATCTGGAGGGACAGAGTTTGGGGAAGCCTGCGATTAGCATATTTATTTCTTTATTTATAAAATATTTTACCAGTAAAGATACATTGAGATTTCTCTCGTTTTCAAGTATGTCCTGGGTCCACAAATCATTGCATTGATACATTAGGGTACAATAAAATACAAAACCAATATTAATACACAATATATACAAAATTTAACATAGAACAGGCAGGAAATATATAATCAACCATGACAGGTGCATTCTGTTTTGAGGTATGTAGAGAGGGATCTCTTAAAGGACTTTAGGCTTAGGGAAGATTTTAAATTGTGCGGGAGGTCGTTCCACAATTGCGGCGCTCTGTAGGAGAAGGAGGATCGGGCTGTTTTCTTTTTGTATCGAGGTAGACTAAATAAAGTTTAGCATATCAATTATTTAGTGTTTGGGTAGTCAGGGAGATGTTGCTAAACTGCACAGAATGTCCAACTTTAGATTTAAACCGATATATATTATATTAGATATTATTATTCCTGAGAATAGTATTAAGATCTTTGATCAGTGGTGCTTCCATGCGCTTCTCATAATTTATTTATATTTTCTCTTTTTCACTGTCATGCTGGTATTAGTAAAAAAAAAAAAGTCTCAGCCCTTGAATGGAGAAGCTTTATGTTGTTGTTTTGACCACTTGGTAAAAGTTATTCAATAAAGTTTATTTTGGGAGGGGGGGCTATTTTGGCATAAAAGTTTGAAATTCACTTTGTATTACAGTTATTATTTACACTTTAATGTATAGAAAGTTAAGCCAGTCTCCCTTTCTTTGTAGGTGATTCAAGATATACCTATAGCCAGTTATTTAACCGAGCAATCTCCATTCTAACGTTTTTAAGTATTTTACTTAGGTATATTCTAAACAATTTTATTGAAGTTTAAATACGCATCTTTTTTATTTCTAAAGAGCTCTGCTATATATCGAAACACCCCAAACTTCCATCAGTCTGGACAAGAGAAAGATTTGGATTGCAAATAATAACTATCCCTTCTAAAAAGGGATCTATATCGAAACACCCCAAACTTCCATCAGTCTGGACAAGAGAAAGATTTGGATTGCAAATAATAACTATCCCTTCTAAAAAAAACAGATGCCGGTGACCTAAGATCTGGTCTGTTCTTATTTTATTATTGCACTAACAAGCATTCTAACCAACCTTTCACAAAAGCAAGTTACTGTAGTACTG